TGGGATAGTGCATGGGGTAGTACCACCTAATACACCACAATAAAATGGTGTTTCCGAAAGAAAGAATCGATCAATTATGAACATGGTGAGAAGCATGTTAAAAGGGAAAAACTTACCGAAAGAGTTGTGGGGAGAAGCAGTATCCACAATTTCCTATTTGTTGAATATGTGTCCTACAAAGAAGCTTGAGAAGATAACACCAGAAAAGGCATGGTCTGAATTCAAACCAAATCTAAACTATTTGAGAATTTTTGGTTATGTGGTGTATCGACATGCTTCGGGTCTACTTAGAAAGAAGTTGGATGATAAGGGGAAATGATGATACTAGTAAGGTATCATTCCACTAGGGGTTATAAAATGTTTGATGCTGCAAACATGAGTATTATGATCAGTCGAGACATTGTGGTTGATAAATTGAAGTAAGTGGAGAAGCCTGTAATTGGTTATAGACAATAATTAATCGGTTACATGCAGTTGTTGTTAATCGGTTACTAGAAAGGTGTAACAAGTTACAGGTTCAAAATTCTAGATTATGAAGAAACAGAAAGTGTAGAAGCGCCACGCGTCGAAGCCTGAACTGATGAAAATGTATGAAGACTAACTAGGCAAAGAGGTTTGCCTCAAAGACTCCAATATTATGAGATATTCAGTATCAGTGAAATCAATGATGATGGTGATTTTGTCCATTTTGCTCTTATGGCCGAATCAGAGCTCGTTAAGACAAAAGAGGCCTTGAGTGAATCAAAGTGGATTTATGCTATGAAGAAGGAGCTAGAATCGATTGAGAAAAACAATACTTGAGAGTTGGTTGATCTACCAAAAGAAAAGAAGCCGATTGGTGTAAGATGAGCCTATAAGGTGAAAGCAAATCCCAAAGGTGAAATAATCAAGCATAAGGCTCAACTAGTTGCAAATAGATTTTTGCAAAAAGAAGGTATATACTTTGATGAGGTATTTGCATCGCTTGCTAGGATTGAAACCATATGGATAGTTTTTGGTATTATGAATAACAATAATTGGTCTATCTATCAAATGGATGTGAAGTCTACATTTTTGAACGGTCCGCCTGAAGGAGGAGTGCATGTAGAATAACCCTCTAGTTTTATTGTGAAAAATCAAGAAGGAAGGTTCTACAAGTTGAGAAAAGTGCTATATGGTTTGAAGCAAGATCTAAGAGCTTGGAATAAAAGGATAGTCAGTTTCCTAATGGAGACTGGCTTCAAGAAACGTGAGTCTGAACATGGAGTTTATGTGAAGACAGATATAAATGAATGGATGGACATTATTTTCCTATACATAGACGATTTATTGATTTCGGGCAAGTTCAAGAGTGAGCCTATGAAAGAATTCAAGAAGAGCGACCTTGGTATCATGACATACTTCCTTGGCATAGAGTTCCACAAGTCAAAAATGGGATTGCTTATGCATCAAAGGAGATATGCTCTTGAGATATTGAAGAAGTGTGAAATAAAGAATTATAATACTTCCATTACACCAACTGAACCAAGGATATAACTATCAAAGAATGAAGAGGAGTAGAACGTAGATCCAACTCAATATAGAAGGTTGATTGGATCATTATGTTATTTGTGTAATACACGACAAAATTTGACGTTTAGTGTCGGTATTGTGAGTAGATTCATGGAGAGACTGAAGGTGTCTCACTTGGAAACAATTAAGAGAATCATGAGATACGTCAAAGGATCTATTGGCTGCGGAATTCTCTTTCCTGCAACGGATATGGGCAGAAAATTCAATTTGCTTGGTTTTACTGATTCCAATTAGTGGGTAGATAAAGATGATCGAAATTCTACAGCTAGATACATCTTTATGTTCGGCGGAACACCAATTTCATAGTGTTCGAAGAAGGAAGCGATAATTTCACTCTCGTCTTGTAAGGCCGAATATATTGTTGCTTCGTTATGTGCGTGCCAAGTTGTATGGATAATGAATCTATTGAAGGAGCTGAGCAGCATCGAGGGTGAAGCTGTTACACTCTTGATTGACAATGTTTCCGCTATTTATCTTACTAAAAACCCAATTGCACATGGAAGGAGCAAGCACAATGGGATGAAGTTTCTCTACTTGAGGGAGCTTGTTAGTGAAGGAAAGTTAAGGTTGGGATATTGTAGAAGTGAAGACTAAGTTGCTGATTTGTTGACTAAGAGAGTCACAAATGATGTGTTCAAAAGGTTAAAGATGATCATGAACATGGAAGACTTGGAACACTTGAAATAATGTGGTGTGTTAAGAGAATTTCAAGTATTTCAAGTGTTGTAACCGGTTAACACGGAGGTGTAACCTATTACAATCATCAAATAAGTTAATTAAGTTGCAGAATAAGTGTTTTTGGATTTGTTGTAACCGGTTGCATATTCGCTGCAACCGGTTACACCTGATAGTATTTTTCAGTTTTGTGTTAGCTGTAACCGGTTACAGGTTTGAGTTAACCGGTTACAACTCCGAGTTTTTGACTTTTCTGGCTTTTGACTTGATGCTTTTGTATCCTAATTGTTGTATAAATACCATGATGGTATATTTATAATGTAGGATGAATAATATCATAATTCTCACTCTCTCTCTCTCTCTCTCTCTCTCTCTCTCTCTCTCTCTCTCCCTCTCTCTCTCTCTCTCTCTCTCTCTCTCTCTCTCTCTCTCTCTCTCTCTCTCTCTCTCTCTCTCTCTCTCTCTCTCTCTCTCTCTCTCTCTCTCTCTCTCTCTCTCTCTCTCTCTCTCTCTCTCTCTCTCTCTCTCTCTCTCTCTCTCTCTCTCTCTCTCTCTCTCTCTCACTTTCTTCTATCTCACTATCTCTTTTTTCATATACTCAAATCCTCCATTGCTTATCAATTGTGTGATTGTATGTTTCAACAGTTTAAATTTTTTTAGACAATTTTTTTCTCACTAAAACAATTTCAAGTGTTAGGAATGCACACTAAGCCATCTATTATAAGAAAAATACTTGCATAAAAACGAACATAAATTCATATTCTTAAGAATAACTAATAAGAAGACAGGAAATTTAAAATTTATTTAATTGGGATCATGAGTGGTTATGGTAATGATGGAGTGAAAAAAATTTTTTTATAATTTTTTAATCAATAAAAAAATTGTGATCGGTTGTTTCTAAATCCATGTATTATATTTGTTTTCATATAAGAATTTTTCCTATTATAATTAGGTAAATTAGCCTTAAAATAGTTAAGAGTTCATTTATTCTAATTCATAAACCCATAAGATGTAAACATCAACTACTTAATTTTAATATAAGCAATATCTTTTTCAATAATAGTTCTTATAGTACTCCACTCGTCTCATAATAGATTTTTTTTTTTTGAAATTTTTACACTTTTAAAATAGTGCTTAATTATTTACTTTCATTAATAAAATAAGTTTTACTTACTAAAATAATTTTATTAATAATAAATAGTAGAATAGTTATATGAATTAAAATACAATAAATAAGAATAAATATCAGAATTGCAGGAATCGATTGGTGGAAGATATCAATTTAGAATATAAACAATTTAACTCAAATTTTAGATTACTCATCTAATTTATTTATTGATAAAAAATTCACAGTCAACAATTAGTAAAATAATTTATTATTATTATTATCGTGCTATTAATTGTTTAATGAATATTTTGAAGGAAATTTGTTGAACGGCAAGTATATAGTAGTAGTAGTACATGATGGTTTTGAAGGAACATGATACATAAATAGATAGGTGTCATGGCACGTTAAAACATTCTTTGCTTATTATCAAAAATTTAGAAGAACTCTGATTATTGAATGGCTCGAAACGTTTCTCCGCAAAATACGCCTACTTGCCGCCTCTTTTCTTTCCTCTCAATTGTTATCTACAAATCACCATTCTTCCATTATTTTCCTCTTTCTTTTCTTCTTTACCTCTTATTTCTAAAACTTACTCAAAACAACTGTTCATTTGATTTCCCTGTAATTAATCACTTCATTCATACACATGCAACTTGAATACTATATGTTCCAACATTATTTACTTTTACTAATAACAGAAGGAAATAAATCACTAGCCAGCATTTTGACCCTTAATCATAATCTTTCGTAATCCATTAAGTTGCATAATGATATATGGCCACTATTATAAATAAAAAAATATTTTAAATTTTGGTCACTATTACAAACTAAAGACAATAACTTTTAGACTAATTAATAATTATATTATTAATATATCTCTATTTTAAGTTAAAAATATTTAATATTGATAATTAATTTATCAAATATAATTAAAAATATTATAATAAATTTTACTTTGATTGAAATCAAAAAATATATTAATTATATTTAATAGTTGAAAAAAATATATTAATTCAGTTTATAATTGAAAAGAAATATCAAATATAAGAATACAGGCAGAGACATTAAATATTAAATATAAGAATATAAAATCGAATTTGCGTCTTCTCATTTATTCGAGCCAAATAAATATTATATAAATATAAATATTCTCTACTATGCAGTTGTGTTTATTTAAGAAAAAAACTTGCATGAAAATGACCACAATATATAACTTTACAAACAATCAATAATAACTTTTTATTAATTAAAAATAAAAATAAATATTTCCATAATTGAAGTAAAAAATAAATTAAATTTTAAATAAATATAAAAAAAATTCTTCTTATTAGATTTTTAAGAATATGAATTTGAGTTTGTTTTTATACAAGTAATTCTGGATTATTTAATTAGTCTATGGCAATTATTTTATGTAAGTTAAAAAAAAAATCTGTCTCCATGATGCGTATGGAATGGAGGTGTGAAAAGTCAGCGTCTCTCTTTCTCTTTCTATAAACTCATCTTTCTCATTTTCTTTTGTTTCTTTCTTATTAACAACACAACAATCAGTTTCAGTTTCAAACCTGTCCCCTTATTAACTTTCTTTTTCTTCCTCCTGAATACCCAAAATACCTATATATGTGCTTCAAAACATGAATAAGAAGAAACTCTTGTTTTTCCACTAACTATGTGTAGTAGTATCTTTGTGTCATCAACAACAACTATGGACAATTACCAAGGTGATTTAACTGACATAATCAGAGCTACTGGTACTGGAGCTGGAGCATATAGTACAATCACTTCATCATCATCTTCTGAACCTCTTTTACAACATCATCATCATCATCATGATAATCAGTGGCATCCTCATCCTCAACCTATGAGTTTCTCTAATTCCATTCTTGAAGATAATAGATCAGGATCAACCAACAACATCAACATGAACATCAACATGAACATGAACATGAACATGAACATCTTTGGTGATCCATTATTCTCAACTTTAAGAGATCCATTTCTACAAGAGCTTGATCATATACCTTCTTCTTCCTACTTCAACATCCCAACTAGTAGTATAATTGATGTTGCAGCTTCTGGTGTTAGTGTTACTACTAATTCATCATCTTCTTCTGTTTCTGCTTCTGCTTTTGTACTTGATCAAGATCATCATCATCAACATCATCATCATGAGATGATGAGATCAGGTTCAAGGCCATGTAAAAACATATTCTCAAACATGATTCAGATCTCTCCTAATGCAACAAAGCTATCAAATTATGAATCTTCCTCTTCAACCATGGCACCTTCTCCAAGACAAATTAAACCCGTTGTTGCTGTTTCAACCAACATCAATATTAATGCTAAGGATTCTCTTCTAGACAACTCAGGAGGAACAGTTCAGATCTCATCTTCAAGGAATAATACAGGCCTTAAACGAAGGTAAGATATCATTAAATAATATAATAATTAATGTCATCTCATCTCATTAATTTATGCTTCTCCATGTTATATGTTACTATAATTAATTTCATAAATGAAATCATGAATTAATCACTTTTTTGAATTACTGTACACAAAGTAGGGTTTGGCAATAGTTAGGCACTTTCTTTCATTTTCTTGTGAGAATTAACAAAATTTTGACTATAATCATGTCACACTGTTGATGAGTTCATGATAATATAAAGACTATAACATGTGGTTTAATTTCTTTCAGGCTTTTTATAGCTTTTAAAAATTCATTTCACCTGAAAAGTAATGTTAGCTTCTTGTCACAAAAACTGACCTTTCAAGCAACTTATGTTAAAACTACTTTTCTTCCATAATCTCCTGAAAACTCCTATTCCTTTGAATTTGATCAACAAATACACACAAAAATAACACCTAGCTTATAGTTTTTTTTTTTAATAAAAAATTCTATAAATCTCTTTATACATGATCATATTTGGTGGAAATGATAAGTATTATTTTGATGTAATGATTAATTGTAGGAAAAATCAAGCAAAAAAGGTGGTATGTATTCCTGCACCAGCAGCTGCAAACAGTAGACAAACTGGTGAAGTTGTTCCTTCAGATTTGTGGGCTTGGAGAAAATATGGTCAGAAACCCATTAAAGGTTCACCTTATCCAAGGTAAATTAGTTAGAAATTTCTCACAAGTACTTAGTACATAATTTAGGTATTAAAAATACATTGAGGCTTAGCTTCTTAATGTTATTATTAATTCATCATGTTGACTTGACTTTACCTTAAATTAAATCATTTCCTTGTAATGTACTATTATGTTCCTTCCATATTTCTAGCTTCACCATTGAATATTGTTAGTTGCTACACATTGGGATTTAAAAAAAAAACAACTGGACTAATTAGTTTTTTCAACTAAGAAATCTCTCTCTACTTACTATTATTTTATGTGACAAATATTGCATGTGTCAGAGTAGTTTTATTTTTGCTGTCACGATTCATTGAGATTTATTCAGTTAAGTTATTTTGTTTTAGTTTAAATTTGAACAAGATTCTCATATTTATTTGAATTAGTTCATTTTTTCATTGGATTTTAGGTTTCTTATTAAATTTTTTTGGTGTTATTAGGGGTTATTATAGATGCAGCAGTTCAAAGGGTTGTTCGGCAAGGAAACAAGTTGAGAGAAGCAGAACAGATCCAAACATGTTAGTTATAACTTACACTTCAGAACATAATCATCCATGGCCAACACAAAGAAATGCTTTAGCAGGTTCAACAAGATCTCAACCATCCAAAAACAACACTTCCATGAAAAACTCAGAAACTTCATCTCAACCACAAAATGACACACCAACAACAACAACAAAGCCAAAAGAAGAACAACATCAAGAGAGTGATGGAAATGGAAATGATTCACCAGTTGTTAACAGTGTGAAGGAAGAGAGTATGGAAGATATAGAGAAGTTGCAAATTGAGATGGATGAAGGAGATCGATTCAATGACGCACTTTCTTATAAACCTTGTTTGATGGAAAATAATCAAAGCCATGAGGATTTCTTTGCTGAATTAGGTGAAATTGAAGCTGATCCATTAAACCTATTGTTTAATCAAGGTTTTGGTGGTAATTCAAGTAATGATATTATTCATCAAAGAGATCATCAATCCAAGAGTTTAGATGCATTTCATCTCTTTGACTGGTCAGGTGACAACAACAACAACAACAATTCCAACAACTCATTTGAAGAACCAAATAAAAGAAGGTTATTATGAAAACAAGACCTAGAATTTCAATGCATGCACCTACAAGAAATCAATATCTTATCTTCCTCACAAAAAGACCTAATTTTCAATCTTGCTTTTTTAGTATTATTTGGTGAAGGTGCTATACTATTCAAGGTCATGTTTGGTTCTTTCTTATCATCTCATTTGAAGTGTGTCATGTGAGGGAAGCATATTTAAGAAATTTTCATTTTTTTCTTTACTATAGAAAAAGTTGAAATAGCAACAAAAATTTAGAGACAGAAAAATACAATATTTGTTCTTAATTTTGATTTTAAATATTCATGACTAAATATATTTTTCATGTCTCTTATTATTTTGTTGTTATTTCAAGTTATATTTTTAGGATTTATATCGTCTGCAATAGATATAAAACACATTCAAAAATTCGTTTATATATAAACTCTTAATTCGTTCACTTATTATATGAAAACGATCGAATTCAAAAGTTTAGATATATCAACTATTTGAATGCATGTAGTATGTAAATTGCAGGTTCAACTTTTATTTCTTGTTATTTACCAGAAGAGGCAGTGTGAGAAAAATTATTAGTAGAGTGAAAAAAGAGAAAGAGTGCTGGTTGGTTGATTGGAAGCAAACCAAACTGAGTCCCACATTCGTTTTGGAATATTGGTGGATGGGACAGAAAGCTGAGGAACAGAAGGTTGCAATAGTTGAAACAAGTACATTTCACTATATACAAGACATGATCACTCGAAAACTCAGTAGTGATGTTGTTGAGTAGATTGATGATGAAAAAAAAAAAGATAAGACTAGGCCTTTCATCTTTTCAAGTGGAGAAAATTATTTATTCACAAAGCTTGCATGTGAGGGTATTATTATTCTAATTGCAAAATGAGTAAAAAAGAGAAGAACTTGGATTCCAAGATTTGGTTGATGAGATGAAGTTTATGAAAAAGACAAAAGAATATGTATATAGAAAGGTTAAAGTTTATATGTTTATATTTATTTATAAATATAAATAAATATATATAAAGCTTGACTTTTCATATCAGTCACCTCTACTAGTCTAGGGATGTGTGACATGAGAGGTGAAATGCATGCTTTGGTTCCTCAGCTTTGTGTTTTCTTATTATTATCCACCGACTTGTTTGTGTTCATTGATTTGAATTTTAATGTGAAATTATATTATTAATTTTTAGTTATTTTATTTTACTTTTATCATTGAGAAAATGATTATACAAATGTTAGTATTACTTTTATACTATGTATGGTAGGTGTAGTTTGTGTTTAGATAACAAAATCCATCCAGCAAAACGAGGTTGGCATTTAATCATTTAGCATGTGCATGCTCAACTTTGTGCATGTTTCTTTATAATTGTAGAATCCATGATCATAGAGATTAATAATAATAAGTATGTAATTACTGAAAAACCTAGACTAATTGAGAACTTGATCAGAGATGTTAGATGTTAGAGATGAGGTAGGATATATTGATATAATAATATAAGTATGTCAACAATTGTTATTGTTATTAATGTGGACACACTATTTATATGCAATAGTGAGAGTAACTAAAATTCCTATAATGAGGGATTACTATTAAAGCTATAACAGAAAAATATATCAAAGGCTATTCTAGAGTACATTTATGTAAGACACCTTCACAAAGTGGACTATAGAGATTTAGTAGTCTAAACTTGGAAATGTATCATTCAAAAGCTGGCTTGTAAAGAGACTTTGTCAAAAAATCCTGCAAGTTGACATCTTGTATGAATGGGGAAGAGTTTGATGAGGCTGGATTCAATCTTTTCGCGAGTTATGTGGCAATCGATTTCGATATACTTTAAACACTCGTGGAAGGAAGGGTTATGAGCAAGGGAGATGATGGAGTTGTTGTCACAATAAACTGAAGTTAGTTGGGTGAAAGGTTGGTGCAAACCATTAAATAAGTAGTGGAGCCATTGTATTTCACAAGTTAGACTATCTAAGGCGTGGTATTCAGCTTCGAAACTACTTCTAGAGATTGTGTTTTGTTTTTTTGGTCTTCCATAAAACGAAGGATGAGCCTAGGAAAATAGTATAACCTGAGACAGATATGCGAGAAACAAAGCATGTTGTCCAGTCTGAATCTGCAAAGTCAGACAAAATTAAATCAGCAGTAGTAGAATAAAATAAACCAGTAGTATGAGCATTTTTTAAATATTATAATACACGTATGGAAACTTTAATATGAACAGTCCTAGGTTTGGAAATGTACTGTTGTTGTACTCCAAAATTTGTCCTCTTATTTTTTCAAGATTGCTTATGTCAAGTTTCGAGTTTTGAATCACATTTTTGCTCAAACAATTGATCAGTGGACCTAAAATCAATTGTATTAGGCAAAAAGTCAACCGTGGTCAATTTACAGTCAAACTTCATAATTTTTTATCCATATCAACATTTTGAACTCATATAAGTCAATTGATCATATTTGGATCACAATTCCTCAAGAAATTTGATCAGATCACCAAAAGGGCAAAATGGTCAAAATTAGGATTTTGACTGAGAAGGCTCAATTTTTTACTTTTGACCAAATAAATGACTTATTGGTTTGAGATATGATATCAAGGATTAGAATGCATCATCTTGACCTAATGGCATGGTTCAAAACACTTCTCAAGATCAATTGATTGATAATTGAAATTTGGTCAACTAATGAAAAGTCAATTGTACACTAAAAAGTTAAACTTTGACTTTTTGATAAAAATCAAGTTTCAAAAATCATATTTCATTAAGACATGTCAAAATATGAAGATTATTCATCAAGAAATCAAAAATTCAAAATTATCTTTGAAAAGTCAAAATTCTAAGACTTAGAAATTTTTCTAAGTGTTAGAAAGTTAACTTTTTTTTATGACTTTGTGCCAAATTTTCACCATGATGCAAGATGATTCAAGGAAAACTTCCAACATGAAATTTGTAGATCTCAATGAGATTTAAAACATTGTAGGGCAGGACTTTTTCTATAACTTCTTGGATTTTCAGTTATAAATTCATGAAGTCATGGCATTTTTTATTAAACGCTTGGAGAAATTTTCAGCAGTTTTGGCCAGGTTCTTATCCCAACTTCTTGGTAAATTTTCTTCAAGTTCCAATCGGATTCTTCAAAAATAGAAAACATGAAAGTTGTAGAGGATGTTTCAAGCTTTCCAAAAAATCCAAGAGCATGAATTTATCATACTTGAGCTAGGAGATTCAAGGATGTAAAGTTGGATATTCATTCTTGATTTACAAGGCAAATTTGTGAAGAACACTTGATTCAATCTTCAAGCATGCTGTACAAATCCCATTTTTCAGGCTTCTAACTTGCATTTCACTCCATAATTGAATGTTTACACAACTGATTGAGCTATAATCCAAGTGTTTGAACCATTATCCAATTGATCATTCCATTTTTGGAAGAAAGTTCACACTTCCATTTTGGAAAAGTGGCTTTAATCACAAAGTCCACTCTTCTTGAGCATTGGACATGTTCTTTTTACATAAATTTCATGTACAAGATCAGAAGCAAACATGTCAAAAATTCAACCACTCTACAATAGCATGGTACAAGCTTTGGGAAGATGTTTGTCACTTTGCTTCAAAAACAAGCAAGATAGCCATAACATGTGATTCAAAATCTGAGTTGTTTGAAGTCTCAAACCTTCTCTATAAATAGAGAGGCCAATTGAAAGAGAAAGAGGTCATAAAAAATAGAGAAAATCCAGAAGTGTTGTTGTGTAGACAAGCCCTCAAAAATCTCACACCTTCAAAAAAGCCATAACTATCCATAAAGCTTCCACTCTTGAGCTTTGAAATTAAAATCCTTAAACCTCTCATACCTTGCAAGCTCTGTCCAAACAAACCATATAAACACCTTACATACATCTTATAAGAGTTATTCAAACACAAGAACAACTTCTGTAACATCACTATAACCATTTCCTAAGCTCAAGAACAAGCAGCACAATAGTTCAAACTCAAAATACAAATTTCAGCTCTAAGGTAAGTTTCTTGAATTTAATTCTTCATTTCAAGCATCATTAATGATTCATTTTTGAAGACAAAATGTAGTAACCATTTCCCTTGAAGCTAACCTTTTGTTTGTCTTCCATTCTTTTCATTTATGTGTTGAGAACTAACCCATGTATGAAGTAAAACAATGTTGAAGTAAAAAATGACAGTATGAGTCGACACATACCTATAAGTCGACTCATCTTAGTGAAAATGACAGTATGAGTCAACACATAGCCTTATGAGTCGATGCATACTGCTATACAAGCCCAAAACAGAAGGAAAAAAGAGTGTATGAGTCGACACAAAGCACATATGAGTTGACACATGCAGTGTATGAGTCGACACATACCATTATGTATCAACTCATACTGAGTTGATTTGGAAATACATGGGTAAGGAAAGTTATGTGTCGATGCATAGGATCTTGTGTCGACACATAATAGTTCAAAATGCAATTTTTCCTTCTTTTTATACTATTTTTACATTTCCTTCATTGTTATTTGATATGGTTGTAATATTTAAGTTCTTATTTCATTCCCATTTGTAAATTGTACCCCCATCCCCCTAAACGATGTAATAGCGTTGGACTTTATTTTCCGCAATTTACCGCTTTCAAATACAAATGCTAGTAAATAGGGTGTGTATGGTAAGACTAAAATCAATCTTAGACAATTCTAATCCAAGACAAAACAATACATGAAAAATAAACACTTGCACACTTTGCACCTCTAGGGTTAACTCCACTTGTTGCCTTGATAAAATGGTCATGATATGCATGTGAGACATCTTAGAAAAAACAATCAAGATCATAGTCCCTCGTAACGCTTAATGTTGCCTTACAAATGATCTTGGTCCCTTAAGAGAAATGTTAAGGTATCTCACAACATTGCTATTCATGACTATACGATGACCCGCGTCCGTCCCTTTACATCCAAAGATAGGACTTCTTACCAATAAATGGTAAGATAGTGTTGTACCCAAAAATTTGCCCT